CGATGACCATTTATGACATACCCAGTACTGTTTGTACTGCAGTACCATTAGCGGCAACTCCAAACAACATTACAGCTGGATTCCAGGTTTCCGGAATTATTCCATTTGATAGGGATATTTTTCCGGACAGTGAATTTATGGCTGCTTATGTTACAGAAAGATCAGATCCTGAACAAGATTTGCAAGATATTGAGGAAAACGTAAATCCTGGTGAAGTATTGGGAGTTAAAGCAAATCTACCTGAACTTGGTCAAATTACATCCATCGAAGGGGCTTTAAACCGTGTCGACAACCCCTTGCCAGACCAAGAGACTAATCCCATCGAAGACGTGCAACGAGCTGGACCAAACAGAATTGCAGAAAGTAAGACGCCCGCGCCCCAGAATTTTCAGTGTCTCCAGTCATCTAACAAGGTAACAACATGTAGTTTTACAGATCTCGAAAATTTGAAGTCGTTTCCAAAAGCCGCAGAAAGGAAAGTGCAACGGGGTCGCACAAAAAGAAAATCTGAAATCTTGACAGATACGCCTATTAAAGATGCNTCTGTGGAAGTTCCATTTGGTTTAGAAAATTAATTATCATCTAATATTGAAAAATATAATAAATTGATGTATGTACCCACTACATGGTAGGAGATCATCATGAAAAATTAAAAATAAAACTTCCTATGTTTATTATATTCGTTTAAAAATGTCCGTATAGGACGAAACTTTAACGATAGTTGCAAATACAAATTGATACGAACACTGGTGTACTTGTCCCGACCCTAAACGAATGCCACAGTTTCAAAAGAAATGCTATGGTCATTCAGGGCCTGCTTCGCGCATTCTGGTTGTAAACACGAATACGGCTACAAACTCACACCATATGATGAGGAGACAGTTTATCACATATAGTGTTATGAACAACGCTAGAGTTAATTCATATATATCCGAACCCAGGTGTCACAATTATTTCAACTAAAATATTGTTTTTTTAGCAGACTTTGCAACTGTTCCATTTCATTGATAAAAGGAACAGGAAATAGTCGCAGGAGGCCAATTCTGATAGTTACTGTGGCTGATGCATTAATACGTCGTTGTTTTTGTCAAAAAAATTACGAACAAGCTCTGACCAGTGAGCAGTTCGAGCAGGCTTTATCGTGATGCAAGTCATGAATTGTTTTTCTACAATACCGGACGTTTTATTCGTTTTGTTTCTCGCTAGCGGCGCATAACTTAAAGATATCTAATACTCCTCATTGACCATACGACCATGTGGCAAGAACTCCTGATGCACTACGCCACGGTAATCGAAGAAGACAGTGAGCAGAATCTGGACACTGGGAAGATTGGACTTTGATTTTGATGTCATAACCATATACCTATAATGCGTCACCAGTTATTGCCTTTTTGAACAAATTCGCATCGCCCTGGATGTCGTTCAACAATTCCTGAGCGATGCTCATGCGACGATTTTTTGGTAAAAATTCAGCAGTTTTAGAACGAAGTTCACTGCCATATATGCTTCATGCCTAAAATTTCAGAAAAAACTGCATGGCATGAGCTATGGGAATTATGAAGTAGAAAGGTTATTGATGTACAGCTATAAACACATAACTTCAATCCTATATCATATCATCGAGCATTGTCGTCCAATAGACTGCTTTTGGAAAGCTCAGTACACCAATAGGCTTTTCTACATGGTACAGTCTACATGGTAAATATCCGTGTCTGCAAGGCGTTTTTTTCCAAATTTAGTATGTATACACAGTAATGTATATACGGTTATAGATATAACGTAAGAAAAACTTTTAGAACTACCAACACGATGATATTTCTTTTAATACAAAATGAACTCGAAAATACCGTTGAAAAGGGAAAGAGAAATTTTTTAATATAGTTTGTTCCTGTGGAATTTTTTTGGATAGGTGAAACCTTAAGATCCCCATATGTGAGAAAAAAAATCATATCGTAAATATAAAAGGAGAACACTAATAACTGGATCGGGGATAGCGGAGCATATTCTTAAATCGTCATTGATCACGCTATAAAATGGGGTGGAACAAAAATTATCACCAAAGAAACTCATAAAAACATTAGAAAACTCAAAGAATCCACATATATTTTTTCAGCAGATAACAATTGTATTTCAACAGTATTCATAATCTCATTATTATTCACTGAGTGGGTGGTTGAATCAGAAATATCTTTATTTGATTGAGAATATAACTACCTTCATTCTGCACCATCTCAATATGGAAATATGAGAAGAAGTCACATTAAGAGTCATGTCCTCGCGTGAACTCATTTCTGCCTATGATGCACATATATGATTTTTCAGATTCATTTAGGTACTCATATATTTTTGGGATACCCCAACATCGTTTCATATAGACCGGGAGCCTGTGACAGAAATTTTGACCCCAATTTTTACAGTCTGCCTTTTTCAGAGGACATATTTACAGCTACAAGCAACAGTATTAAGCGTTGAACGATTTTTTCCCATGTTACACATGCTTAAACGTCAACTCTAGTTTGTATAAAAAAAAAGCTTCTTTGACCACCATTTTACCGTCTGCCATTCATGCGACCGGAAGGCTAGGTTACACAACCCACAGATAAAATAATTGGCAGACG